TGCACCCCGTGTCCTCGCAGCGCCGCCGTCGCCGGCCGCGGTGCTGGCGTCGTAGCGCTTCCACTCGATCTGTTGCCGAGCGTGTCTGAGGCCCTCCTGGCAGCGAAGTGGCGACTGGGGAACGCGCCTCCTCCTCCTCCTCCTCCTCTCCTCCTCCTCCTCCTCCTCTCCCTCCTCCTCCTCCTCCTCCTCCTCCTCCTCCTCCTCCTCCTCCTCCTCCTCCTCCTCCTCCTCCTCCTCCTCCTCCTCCTCCTCCTCGTGGGATCACTGTAGCAGTTAAAGGGGTGGGAGAGGTAATACAACGGAGGCAGAAGATGAAGTGGGGGTTGGCCCAAAAGTTGGGTCGGTACGGAAGACGCTCCTGCCCACAGACCTGCTCGGGTCATGAAAAAAGCACGACGGAAAATGTTCGGCAGTCTTCGGCCCCCAGGGGCAATCAAAAAACCGCTCGGGACGACGAGCCGGTCCTGGAGAAGCGGGTCGGGCCATCCAGGGGTCCACGCTGTGAGAAACTCATGACGTCGGGGGTCTGGATTCAGTCATCTCCCTTTCCCTCCCCTCCCACGCCTCAGTTTCTTACATTCGCCTCCCGTCCCCTCCCCTACCCTACCCTCCCTCCCCTCGCCTCCGTTTCTTGTCTTCCACCGTCCCTCGCCCATCCCCCGATTTCTCCTCTCAACACTGCCCCTCCCCCTTTTCGGTCGTCCCTGTCCCCGCTCCCCTCCCACGCCCCTCGGAGCGGCAGGCCTGGAGCCGGGAGGGCGCGAAGTAACGAGGGCACCCTGGGTGGGACGAGAGTCGCCCCCCTTTCGGATCCGCGGAGGAAGGTTGGGCACGTGCTGTCGGAACAGGTGGAGGGGGGCTGGAGGAGGAAGGAGAGGAGGAGGAAAAGGAGGAAAAGGAGGAGAAGGAGGGCCAATGCAAACCAAACCCAAGACGCGCCAACGATGTTGCAGTGAACCCTCCCTCCACGCTCCCTCTTCACAAGTTCCTGCAATAAATTATCCCAGTGCGACCCTACCTAAGAGTTGGAGCCCCTAGGACAGCAGCATTAGTAGTAACAGTAAAGCTAAGCTAAAGGTAAGCTAAAGGTAAGCTAAAGCTAAGCTAAAGCTAAGCTAAAGCTAAGCTAAAGCTAAGCTAAAGCTAAGCTAAAGCTAAGCTAAAGCTAAGCTGAAGCTAAGTTAAAGCTAAGTTAAAGCTAGGCTGAAGCTAAGCTAAAGCTAAGCTGAAGCTAAGCTGAAGCTAAGCTGACGCTAAGCTGAAGCGAAGCTGAAGCTAAGCTGAAGCTAAGCTGAAGCTAAGCTGAAGCTAAGCTGAAGCTAAACTAAAGCTAAGCTAAAGCTAAGCTGAAGCTAAGCTAAAGCTAAGCTAAAGCTAAGCTAAAGCTAAGCTAAAGCTAAGCTAAAGCTAAGCGAAAGCTAAGCTGAAGGTAAGCTAAAGCTAAGCTAAAGCTAAGCCAAGCTGAAGTTACGCTAAAGCTAAGCTAAAGCTAAGTTACAGCTAAGCTAGTTGAAGCTAAGATAAAGCTAAGCGAAGCTAAGATGATATAAGCTAAGCTAAGCTAAGCTAAGCTAAGCTAAGGCTAATGTAAGGCTAAGGTAAAGATAAGCTTGAGCTAAGCTAAAGCTAAGCTAAAACGAAGCTAAAGTTAAGCTAAAGCTAAGCTAAAGCTAAGCTAAAGCTAAGATAAAGCTAAGCGAAAGCTAAGCTAAAGCTAAGCTGAAGCTAAGCTAAAGCTAAGCTAAAGCTAAGCTAAAGCTAAGCTAAAGCTAAGCTAAAGCTAAGCTAAAGCTAAGCTAAGCTAAGTTAAGCTAAAATGAGATAAGCTAAGCTAAGCTAAGCTAAGCTAAAGCTAAGCTAAGCTAAGCTACAGCTACAGCTAAGCGAAGCTAAGCTAAGATGAAGCTAAGCTAAGCTAAGCTAAGCTAAGCTAAGCGAAGCGAAGATGAGATAAGCAATGCTAAGCTAAAGGGACGTAACTGGGGGAACCGCGGGGCGGATCCTGGGGGAACCGCGGGGCGGATGCCGGGGGAACCGCCCGGGGCGGGGTCCACTGCCCGGCCCCTTAAGCACACACAGTAAGAACCCTTCTAGGCAGAGCCCAGGTAGGGAATGATTTGATTGTGGAAAGTGGCCCATTTGAGACACCTCAATCGCGCCAGAATACCGTTCATGGGACTTCAACGCCGAGGATCAATGTGACAGCTGTGCCCTGCCACTTCTGTCGTACCAGAACATCGCTCCTGGAACCTCAACTGGTCCGACCCCCGAATCGCCCTGGGAGCTCTGTTTTTGGCCCCTCCCCCCGCAGCAATTCCTGGGCTTGGAGCCGACCCTACCCCCCACCACGTCGCCCACCGCGTGCCTACCAGGTGCCCACATGGTCCGACCCCCGAATCGCCCCAGGAGCCCTGTGCTGGGGCCCCCCACCCGCCAATCCTAGCCCAAAACCGACCCTGACCCCCCACCGGGTCCCCACCAGGTGCCCACCTCGCACAATCCCGCCACCGTCCTGGGAGGTCTGCTCCTGGGCCCCCCCACCCGACAATTCCTGGCCCTGAACCAACCATGACCCCCCACCAGGTCGCCCACCAAATCCCTACCTCGCCCGACATCCACACCGTGCACTGTTCTTGCGACCCCCCTCGACGATTCTAGACGCTTCGCGTCACCCCACCAGCTGGCGTCAATTCCTTGGCCGACGGTCCTTTGGACCACCCTGGTTCTCGCGCTTCGCCGACGTCCGGGGCTTCTCCGTTGCTTTTCTCTTTCCTACCTCGACTGACGGTTCGTTGGCCACGGCCACCCTGGTGCCCACGCAGTCGTCTGAGGTACGGTATCGTGCTTTCTCTCTCGGAGCTGTCCCTGGCCGTCGTTGACTTTCCGACTTATGGCGCATCCGACGGACTTGCAGCTTTGCACGCTGGCAGTTCCCCTCAGTCTCAGTCCCTTCAGCCACCCACCTGCCGGGCCGCTGCGTGAGGCCTCGGCCGGCGCGTAGCTGTTGCCTCGCGCGTTGCCTCTGCTTTAGTTTTCTCGCGTTTCCTCTGCCTAATTAGTCTCTGCGTAGCCCAAGAGGCGCCCAAGAGGCCCAAAAGAGGCCCCAAGAGGCCCCAAAACGGCCCCCAAGAGGCCCCAAAACTCGGCTAGCCCACAACGGTGCGACAATACGGGCCGGCGGAATGAGCGAAGCGATTAAATAAGATTCTTTTTGTGGCGGCCTTACAAAAAGGATTCCCTTTGTGGCGGCCGTACAAAGGAATTCCTTATGTGGCGGCCTTACAGAATGATTTCTTGCAAAGCGGCCTTAAAAGGGGATTCCTTTTGTTGCGGCCTTACACAGGAATTCCTGTTGTAAGGTTTTTTATTCGGCTTTGGGACCAGCAGCGGACCCCCCCCCCCCCCAAAAAAAACAATGAAAACACATCAAAAAACAAAGAAAAATAATAAACACCTGTGTAAACACAGCCAAAAACAATGAAAACCATAGAAAACCAATGGTAACACAGCGAAAAGCAATGAAATATATATGGAAACATTTTTGTTCATTGCTTTTCTTTGGTTTTGAAAGCTTGTTGCTGTGTTTTCATATGTTTTCTTTTGTTGCTATTGATTTGGGTTGTGTTGTCACAATATTGTTTTGTTTTTCCTTGTTTTGTGTTGCGTTTTCATGGTGTTCCTTGTTTTCCCTTGTTTCTTAGTTTGCATTAGTTGGCACCGAAAAAACAGATTCGAGCCTTGCAGCAGGACTCCTTTTGCGGCGGCCATGCAAAAAGATTCCTTGTGTGAAGGCCATACAACGGGATTCGTTGTGTGCCGGCCTTACACAATGATTCCTTTTGGGGCGGCCTTATAAATAGATTCACGTTGTGGCTGCTTATAATACACCCATATATATATATACACACACATCTATACATACATATTGGAAGGCTTCTGGGCTGTGTATTGACATTGTTGGGTCTGTTTTGCCTCTTGGGACCCTCTTGGGAAGGCCTCTTGGAGACCGCTAGCCGCGTTTTGGAGGCCACTGAAGCCGTCTTGGGATCATCGTGAGCGTCTTGGAGCGATCTTTCGGCGTCTCGGGGCCCTCTGGGACCACTTGGGGGCCTCCTCGGCCTTCTTGGGGCCGTCTCGGAGCCCCTGGGGACGCCGCCAGGGGAAGGGCCCCCGCATATACAAGGGAGGTTCCGGCCCGGGGCGCGGGGGCCGGGATCTCCCATATATGTATATTTGGATGCTTGTTATTCAGGACAACCTGATTATAGATAAGTAAGAGTTTGCTTGGTTCGATTCGTTAGTGTGTGTGTGTGTGTGCGTGCGTGCGTGCGATTGCGTGCGTGCGTGCGTGCGTGCGTGCGTGCGTGCGCGGTGCGTGTGGTTGGTGTGTGTGGTGTGGTGCGTGTGTGTGTGTGTGTGTGTGATTGTGCTGTGTGTGTGTTTGTTGGGCGTGTGTGTGTGTGTGTGCGTGTGTGTGTGGTGTGTGCGTGTGTGTGGGTGTGGTGGTCGTGTGTGGTGGCGTGTTGTGTGTTTGTGTATGCGTGAGTGCTTGTTTGTGTGTGGTGTGTTTGCGTGGTGCGGTGGCTTGGGTGCCGTGATGTGTGTGTTGTGCGTGGTGTGGCGTGTGTGTGTTGGTGTGCTTGTGTGTGTGGCGTGCGTGCGTGTGTTGTGTTTGATGTTGCGTGTTCGTGAGCGTGAGTGTTGCGTGTGATTTTTGTGTGTGTGCGTGTGTGTGCGCGTGTGGGTGTGTGCGGGTGCGTGTGCGTGTGTGTGCGTGTGTGTGCGTGTGTGTGTGCGTGTGTGTGCGTGTGTGTGTGCGTGTGTGTGCGCGTGTGGGTGTGTGCGGATGCGTGTGCGTGTGTGTGCGTGTGTGTGCGTGTGTGCGTGCATGCGTGCGTGCGTGCGGTGCGTGCCGTGCGTGCCGTGCGTGCCG